CAGGCAGGAGGGAGTCACACTGTCTGGGCCTGGCGCCTTACTGATCTTTTGTTTTTTAAAAAGCCTATGCACATCTCCTCAAAAACACCCCAGTCTGTACAGTCAAAGCAGGCCTGTAGCTTTGACTTTGCCTCTTCAGTCCATCTTCTCACTGTTTCGACCACAGGCTTTGCAGCTTTATGTTTCTGTCTATAAGTGGGAACGAGGTGTACCGTGCAATGGTCCGAAAGCCCAAGGGCTGCAAGGGGAACACAGCGATAGGCATCCTTAGTTACACTATAGCAATGGTCCAGTGTGTTAGTACCTGGTGGGACAACTGACATGTTGTCTGTATTTGGGCAATTTGTGGGTAAGGTTTGCTCTGTTAAACCAGCTAAGGCAGACTTTACACAATGAGATGAACTGTGTGTATGAGTGAGTGAGAGAGAGAATGGTCAGGTCCTACTACAAAATATAACACCACTAGTTTTTCCTTTCATTTTTATCTTGACTTTATACTGAGGAGAAGTTATTTGCTGTTAAGCCCAGTCACTAAACATCAATATATACGATGCATCTTTGGCACATTTCTACACCCATAAAGCATATAATAATTTTAGTGTATAATGTTCAAGTCTCATGGCTGTTGTGTATGAACATTAATGCAATGTTTCATAAAGCAATTTTAAATGAGGAGCTTTGTTCCCCAGAAATTCACAGAAGACAAAAAAGATACTAAAAACAAGACGACAAAGCAGAGGAGAATGTCCATCAAAAGTCCAAGAAATGTGTTAAAAGCTTCTGTGTAACACAGACAAGCAGCAATGAATACAGACAAAAGGTAAGAAATTAGTGGGAGTTCTTTGTCACTTTTAACTTATTAATATTCCATCTCAGTCTCCTGATCAGTACTCCTTTCAATTCTGATGTGTCTTACATGTGTGTTTAACTGTTGCTCATCAACCCTGAGCACTGGCTGTAAAGTGGAGCTAAGAAACCCGGAGACCGACACAGTGGCTGCTATACTTCATGTGCTTCACCTTTTTGTCTTCAGTTCTTTCATCCACACAATGTACTATACATCAGAGATCAGGTGAGCAATACACTTATCTCTTTGTCTCTCTCTCTCTCTCACACACACACACACACACACACACACACACACACACACACACACACACACACACACACACACACACACAAGACCTGTGTATCAGTGTTAGTATATAAACAGTTGCTGTCTGATCAGCTGTTGCTGCAGTCGGGTCATACCCCTCTCAGCACGACACAGACAGAAAGAAAGCAGGATGCTGATTTGAGCTATAAACACACCATTAAGAGTCTGTATAGTTCCACACATGCAAATGTGTATTTCTCACCTTGCACATCATGTAGGCAATGAGACAATGACAAGACTAGAGGTTCTGTGTACAGCAAATGTGAGATAAAAGAAATGAAAAACACCAAATGACGTGCTGTTACTCGTGCCTGCTGTTGCTGTCATTTGCATCATCTGATGTTTACTTTCTGTGTTGCCAATGACATAAAAGCAGTTTTATTTATACATTTTGTTTTTACAGGGAAGGTTGAAGAGCATGACAAAGCCAAGTTGCTTAGTGTGTTTCTAGGCAGTTTCACTGGTGCATGTGGGACTTCAACAAAAAGGCCGTTGACAAGAATTTTTGTCATTATAAATAAATACAGTGAAAAAACAAAAACCAACAATGGATCGAAAACTAAAACAATATTACATAATCAATAATAAATAAAAGAGGAGGTCATCTTATATTTAGGACTACACCATTACTGGTTGACGACATCAGACCTTCTGTTTGAATGGAGAGAGCCAGACGTGTAGTGCTATTTGTTGAAGTACCAGAGCACACCTACGACACGGCCACATGCACACACATGGTTAAGTTGAGGCTTATTTCGAGGGCCAAGTCAACACATTTCCTAAGGTGGTAAGTTTACATACATTGAAGTTAGTCAGCTGTATTTGCCCGCATGATCAATGTTAGAGTGACTTCATTCTCTGGTGTGGCAGAGTAACAGTGTGAACTAGTAGCCATTTGTCACAGGGTGACTGTTATTGCCACAGATAATCATATATTCATGTCAATTAATGATGAAAACAGTAACATTCATGTATTATCATAGGCCCCATAACACATAGACTATTTTTCATCACTGTAGCCTGCACTGTAACGTTAGCTAGCAACAGAGCTATAGGGCTCTTCGCTGTGGGGCTGCGAGGCTACTGGCCACTTTTAAGGTGGAATGTTTTCTTGCATGTTACTCACTGCATGAGGTGATGTTGTGAATCAGTCACCACACCTTAAATTTGAAATATCACAACTTAGACCATTCGGTTTGTTTTTAATGTCTCACTTGCAGGACATACACTTTACTGATGATTGGGCTCACAAAAATGTAATGTCGTTAATTTCAACTGGAATATGCAAATATGAACATCAATGATCATTGTTGCTGCACGGTCTAAAGAATTTTCTCCACCTCTGGGACATGAGTCCAATCTGAGCCTCAAACACTAATCAGACTGTACAGACGTGTACAGATGCCAAGGCTGAGAGCGAGGTGGTGGTGGGGGATGTCTATCACGATAAACAATGCAAGAGGATTCCCAGTCTTGTGCGATACTCCTGATGTTAATCTGAATTTGAAACAATATGGGACAGGGTGAAATTAGCTGAGTGTAACCATGCCAACCAGCACCTCAAACCAATTTAATCTCTACGGCAGTCCTGCATTATGTCAGCCTGTCTGCTGTGAGCCTCAGCCTGCAGGTACAGAACTCATTTAAACAATGCTTCCCATAGATGCACTGACCTCACTGTGTTCACAGTCTCTTTGAGATTACGGACAACGTGGGGTTAAATTATAAACATACTGAACGGAATCATTTCTTTTAATCTTTTACAAATAGGAAAGAAGCCCTTTTTTGTCATTCATTCATATCTTTGCACTACCCCACTCCACTGTGCTTTACTGTCAACAAGTACTCTATGGCTTGAAAATACCACCAACGTGTAGGCAGCTCTCCGCCACCCACGCAAACAAAGAAAAAAAAAAACAAGAGTCAAACATGAATGGTTTAAAGCCCTCCCCTCAACATCCTTTGTGCACAGGCACCAGGCACACACACACACTTTGCCAGCCCAGATGATCCTGTTTAGAAACACAGCAGACAAGACATTGGAGCAGAGCTGCACACCAACCAAATACAGTATATTGGCTTTTTCAGTCTTGTAAGAGAGAAACAAGCACACCGCAAAACAGCTGCATGACTGCACTGGACAACGCAGTGAGCAACAGGTACACTCTGTTTACTGTTCTGTCACTAGGCAACTCCACAAATTTTGTGAGGCCTTTGCCTTTATCTTGAAATAAATGGACACATATAAATCAGTCATTTACTCACTGATGCTGACACGTGTGCAAAAGAAACAATTTATGGAAAAGCCAAATGTGCATTAGATGAAGTGATGAATGACGACGGACGTTTCTGGTCACACTCAAGTCTGGGATGGCATCCAACCATTCTTTTCACTCACTGTTAATCTCTCAATTCTTTTTATATAAGTGGACTGATTATTCCATTTACACAGTAAAATGTCAGAATATGGTGAAAAACGTCCATCACAGAGGCCAAGGTGAGGTCTCCACATGGTTTGTTATGGCCTGCTGTACCAGCAGTCCAAAAGCCAAACATAGTCCTATTGCTACGATAAAACAGGAACAGCTGAGAAGCTAAAACCAGCAAATCTTTGGCTTGGTTTTTTCTTTTGTTTTGTTTTTGCTTGAAATAGTGGGATATGATGACTTACTGTACATCATAAATTCATTTGCAAAACTGTTGGCCATTTTTCTGTCAGTTAACTAAACTAACAATCATTTCCACACTACCCTGTCACTGTGCGTCTCCTCTGAGATGATCTGGATTCTAAAGACAACTATGTGCTTTACTTTCTTGCAAACTATTTGTTAAGATTATCAGCCAGAGTTTTTAATGGTGATCTTTTTAGGACACAACCCCTTTAAATGTAGGCTTATAAACCACAAACTGTTCACATCGTCTGCTTCACTATAGCCGCTGATGTTACAAAATGACAATTAAGTTTGTATCAAGTTCAGGAAACATGTTTCTCCTGTAAAGTATTACTACTGTAAAAGGGATATACTTTATAAAGTGTATTATGTTAGTAAGTAGCTCAACCAATTGTTTAAAAAACTAGCCAGGTTCTTTTGTATTTTGTCTTCAGGGTTTGATTTTCAACAAAGCAACACAACTGAGTTTAATTGCTGGTTAGAGATGTTGAACTCTCTGTGATGTGTACAAGCACACACCTTCCCTCCCTGTCTTCTCTTACACTTTATCAGTTCACCATAAGGCCTTAAGATGTTCTCACCCCAAAACCAAAGCATCACACCGTCATTCTAATGAACTCAGTCACTTGTATGTATAGTTACTGCTCACAGACTGTTAAATGCCAGTAGCTGCTTCCTTTTTTTCATGCCATTATGAATAGAGTATTGTGGGTTTATAGGTTTAGTCTTTTGTCTGGTTTCTGTTGATCTATAATGGCTCCAAGTGATTTTCCTTACAATAAATTCTATATTAACTGATAATTAAATAAAATCGATTTAAATAAATACATTGAGAATGAAAATCTACTTACATCCCTTTGTTTTACGACCATTAAAAACCTCAGTATGAGTATTTTAGCAGCTTTCTGTCTGTCACTGAGCCTGGACAAGCTGCTAAAATACAGACTGGGGGTTTTTAGAGAAGCCACTAACCGGCAGCTCTGTGGTGGAACAGGTGTTTGCTGTAGCCATGGCACAGAGCCCAAGAAAGTGATGTTGTACAGCTTCAGGCTACAACTCACACACATACACATGATTTCTTTAGTCAGATAAGAATAGTTTAACAGTTCCGGACAGTGGGGCACACATGCCGGCACACAAGCGCAGCCCAAAGGGAAAGAAGATGCACTAACCGCAGCCTTGATGGGGACGTACAGCACCGGTCTGTCCGATGAGCCGTTCTTGCCGTCCTGCAAGGCCCCGACCTGGAAGCCCTTGGACTTGACCCAGAATTTAAATTTGGCGTTGATGTGACTGTTGCTTTTCTCACGCAGAAACAGCCCGTTGCTGTTCTCCTCGTCCCCCTGGAGCAGGGTCTGCAGGATTTTGTTGTATTTACGCCGGGTCACGGTCTTGGTCTTGCCGGAGTCCCCGTAAGTCCGCAGGCACCAGTCCTGAAATTCACCGAACATCTCCACCCCCACGCCTGTCGCCTCGGACCCCGGAGCCCCGCTGCTGGAGCTGCGGCTCCTCTGCTGCTTGCCGGCTGTGGAGGTAGTCACCATGTCCGCCACACTGCTGGCTTTCCTCGCCGTCATTGTGAAAGCGCGTACACTGTTTAAACAGGGGAGAGCTGCTTGAAAAGACCCACTTTGTGTCTGTTCAAATCCGTCCGTAGCAAGCGTCGCCGAAACCAGGGGACCAGCGGTGGCTTTCGCCCTTTCACCAGGGGGCGAAATCTATCCAAGCCTACAAATTTGGTGAAACAAATCAAACCAAAGCTTCTAAATTGCCTCTTAACCTCCGAAATGATCGGTCCAGACCTTTACAATTCATCGGTTCCTCACAAGAAAAGGAAGAAAATAAAAAACATTTCGCTACAATGTCCCGTTTGGTTTTTTTAATTGTCTAGCCGTTTGGTTCCCACCTCCTTCTTCCTCATGTCAGCTTTGGATAGTTAGCTGCGCAAAGACCGAAAGAGAAAAGGAACAAGCGCTGAGTGGGGTGTTGAAACGTAGCCTCCAGAGCAGCCGGTGTGTGGATGCAATTTCGGCAGGAACAATGAGACAGAGCGACTACAAGGAGCGGGATGCAGACTGGAGCGGTGTGCCCTCATCAGATACACCTGTTAGCAGCGTGGGTCGCTGGGCCGGTCCCGTGGGGGATGTCCCCTCCTCTACCACCTCTTCTTCCTCTTCTGAGATGAAAAATAAAAAACAAAACAGAGGCTTTCTTTAAAAACAAGCTGTTACCGATGTCACAAGGTTTGTTGGTCGGGTCTCCATCAGCGCTGAGTTCGGAGCGCGCGTTTTAGACTAGAGAACAATATGACGCGTCCTGAAACCAGCGGCTTGATTTGCCTGTTACAGACCTGTCTATTGAAATAACAGGCTGGCCCTCCTTTCTTGGTTTCCTGTTTGTCACAGTTTCTCTTTATTCCTCCTCCGAGCTGATGGGAGCCAGCCGGACACCTGTTTGATTCCTACTTGTCTTTCCCCCTCTGGCACCCTTAAGCGCAACGCTAGGCCTCACTTCCTCCCTCCTCAAATAAACATTAGTACTGCGCTGGTGGAAATACAGTATCTCTTCACAGCAGCAGCAGTAGGTTCCATACAAACTCACTGCTGTAACACACCACCAGCCCTGTTAACCTGCGCTCTGTCAACGGGACGCGCAGGTTGCAGCTCGACCTTAAAACCAGGAAATGGCCGCAACGCACCGCGCACTGCTGCTCGACGGTCCGTCTATGTGAAAAAGTGAGGAGAAGTGAGAACACGACCCAAGATGTTCAGACATCTATTTAGACATCTTGTGGTACAAAGGAAAACACACATGAACAAGAACCTGACTGTACAGGGTGTAATCTAATAACCAATCACTTAAGGTGACCTGATCGACACGGAGAAGGATTCGAGCTCTTAAGTCTGTAGGGGGATTGATATTTTGAATTAAATAACCTGGTTCGATTATCTGTAAGTCTGAAACTGATCCAGAAAGAACAACTCAAAACAGTGCTAGCCTTCACTAGCCATTCTCACACTGGGACATTCTCTCAATTCTCATTGTTGAAAAACGTCCAGCCTACTTATAAGCAGACAAGGGGGCAATTTTATCTGATAATAAATTAACTTCTCCATGTCATCCCGGATGGACACACTCCATTTGAACTTCTTTGGTCCTTTTTATGTATTATAAATATAAGTAGAAACATAGGTCAATATATATATTTTATATTGGCCACAGAGGTGACTTAAAACTGGTTTTGTGTGTATTAGCCTATAGTTTTATTTCTTTCCAGGACTCTATTATCTATTTTCTGCGTTTTTTGTTCAAACTTATTTCAAATCTGAATTGAAGCTCCACATCATGCCACATGTGATCTATTATCTGTTCAGAAATTCAGTAAATAAACCTGGGAGGAAAATGTGTCAGTCCTCACCTTGAATCCCTTCTGATAAAGGCAACGAAGTCAGAAATCCTGCTGCAGTCGTGGACTAAGACCTACATTTTAACACTGCATTAATAATTCCAAATCGAATTAAAGTGAGTGTTTATTTTGAACAAAGAATAAAATTGATGAGGTATCACATGAAATAATGTGCTGCTGTATTGTTTTCAGTCTAATACAGGACACATCACTATTTTCAGTTTTGACTTTACATACCATCTCAACTTCTGATTTGAGGTTGTATTGAGGGAACTCACATTTCTATTACATTCAACAAGTGAACAACAATGGTTACCTTGCACATTATAGGCTAAACTGTGAACACATTTCCTGGATATAAAGCTCTAGACCAAGGATTTCTTTTCTTGCCAGAGTCAGCTAACCATCCTGAGTAATGACCTCTAAACAGAGATGTCAGTAATTAGTTCATGTGCAGACCATGGATGTATTAAGGAGAGCTGGATACCAGATTACACTCAGTTTATTCCCGCATGATAGGAAGGTTTGGCCCTCGCTGTATTCAGCAGGGGATGAGAACTGCTGAATCAGACTGGGGATGTCACTGGGAGGTGGAAGGAACAATTTGAAGAAGACCTGAACCCAGCCAACATGTCCGAGGAGAAACGAGCAGAGTCTGAAGGCCTTGGGGAAATTCTCAGTTAGATCTCTGCTAGAGGTCAGTAATGCAGACATTGTACCACATTGTGGTGAAGAGGGAGCTGAGCTGAAAGGCAAAGCTCTCAATTTACCTGTCAGTCTATGTTCCAACCCACACCAAACCAGCTTCTCCTTTAAAAGCAACACCTGACTTTGAGTGATGTAACTCATGTCGTATCTTCTTCTCCTGCCCTTCATGTACTCCATTCCTAAAGTGTGATGAGAAAAATATTTATTATAGACAAATTGCATATAAATATTCAGACAGCAGTGTGTTAATATCACTGACCAGCTTTTGTGCATAGGAAAACAGAAAGACTCTGATCCTGTAACCAGCAGCAGTTATATAGCGTAATTTACTCACAGCTGCATCCAGTGTGCAAAAGCCACGGGGGTCTTAGGGGCTATTTGCGTATAACTAAATAAATGTTTAATTGTATTTAAAATAATAAATACAGATATAGTTTAATCACTGCATTTATAGCATTGTACCAAAACTAATTAAAAAAAGGAACTGTGGGCCACAGGGCATGCAGTCTGTTACAACTGCATTGCCAACATAATCTACACCAACAACTGATTTTGCTGAAATCAAACCATTATCAAATCCTCATGGTAGTATGTCTTTGTGAAACTTGATCATTTGAGGAAACTGTAACTGACTGGTGAGTGGGGGTGACAGTAGCACATAGTGAGGTCGGACTGACCTGCTACCTGTAATGCCAATAACATGACTGGTCTGAACATCTGCAAGATATTTATTATTTATCATGGCTCATGAGCTGCTTTCATGTGTGCACTAATGTGTAATTATTGCTCCTGCATATGGTGTCAGATCTGCATCCTATGAAGACGTATGGTGTGTTGTGATGTGTGTCAATCTTGTTTGACCACATTACATTACATTAACAAAAATATACTTGGTACAATTCATCCTATTTGAAAATAATCTTAAATGATCACACATATGTCAGATATTTTCACAATAAATTATACAGTGGATCCCTGGCCATTTACTGTTTTGAACTCTTATTTTGAAGGAACTTCCTGTTTTATGCCCCTCTCACCTGCCCCAGCTTCACTCTGGCCATTGATTACCTGCTACTTTCACCTGTTGCCCATTGTCTTCCTGGCTCTGCCTTTATAACCCCCTCATCTGCCTCAGTTTGTTTGCCAGGTCTTCTGTTTGGCGCTGCATGTGTTTTGCCTCAGCCGTTATCACCACCTGCTTTGTCTTTGTCTGTTCAGTTTTTTCTGTCTAGTCTCTGCTGTTTGTTGAAGTAGTTGTCATTCTGCTTCCCATTTTGGGTTTTAATGTTTGTTGGTCTGCTCCCTGACATTCTCATTTTCATTTTCATTTCTTGCTGTGTGTGCGTTTTGTTTATAGAACCAGAATGAGCTTTTATTTCACTTTATATTTCACTTGTATTGTGTGGCATTTATGTGGATGGCAAAGTAAGAATTTCATTGTACAGGGAAACACGTTTCCTAATTGTGCATATGACAAATAAACACTTTGACCTTCTTTGTTTTGTGTGCTGTATGGTTTATGATATAGATGTCAAAGATATTTGGTTAGTTAGCTTTCTCTGGTTGTTTCTCTTCATTCAGACTTGGTTTATTATATTGCTTGCTTTTACTTGTTGTCTAGGTTTTCCCCTTTATCTGTTACATCTTATTAACTAGATTAAATTGTATTACAGTTATGTCAGCATTTGGGTGCTTTTCTTCTATACTCTTACAAATCCAGCAGATCAGTTGTGGATTTAAGTTTATTTCAAGTTGGTGTGGTACAGTCACATACAAGTTTGTGTGTGTTCTGTCAAACTTCCTCTGGGTACAATAAAGTTGGTGTTGATGGTAAAGACCTGGCATGAAATGACATTTTCAAATGGACTTTATTAAAGAACAAAGATGAAACTAAAACCAGCCAAAATATTAAATTACATTCAGACACCTGTCTAAAATGATTTAAAATATTCCCCAGGCACATACTGTACATTTGGGAGCAATTTCAGATGCAGTGTCCTGCCCAAAAACAGTAGTATGTGGGCAGGAGGAGCCAGGAATATATCTAAACTATACAAATACTGGGGAAACTTGGTCTGTAATGGTTCTTGTTACACTGAACAAAATTATAAATGCAACACTTTTGTGTTTGCCCCCATTTTTCATAAGCTGAACTCAAAGATCTGTGACTTTATCTATGTACACAAAAGGCCTATTTCTCTCAAATATTGTTCAGAAATCTGTTTAAATCTGTGTTAGTGAGCACTTCTCCTTTGCCGAGATAATACATCCACCTCACTGGTGTGGCATATCAAGATCCTGATTAGACAGCATGATTATTGCACAGGTGTGCCTTAGGCTGGCCACAATAAAAGGCCACTCTAAAATGTGCAGTTTTACTGTACTGGGGGGGTCTGGGGGG